GAATGAGGGAAGATAAAACACAACAGATATCTACAAATGATAAAAAAAGCATTAATAATAAAAAAAAACCATGCAAACATGTTAAAAGCCTGCTTAAAAAGTAGGTTTTCAGCTGCATTTCAAAAATCTCCTCTGAATCCAGAGATTGTGGTAGTGCGTTCCAAAATTTAGGAGCTACAACCTGAAATGATATCACGTGTCTTTAGTCGGGATGGAGGAACGAATAGCTGAGGACTGGATCTAAGTGTGCGTGAAGGTACAAGTAGATCTGCTTAGCGGGAGCACGGCCATGTAATGTTTTAAACTGGATCCTGAACGCCACAGGAAGCCAGTTAATATGAGTGTTTGACCAGGTAAGCATTCTAGCTGCAGCAGAAAGAAAAAAGAGCATTACAGTAGTCCATGGCTATTAACTAAATTGCTCAGGGGGCCACAGTTACTGCAGACCAACAGCTCAGGGGCCGAACCCAGCARTTAAAGTTGTTCTGTAAAAAACAAAGCGTTACAAAGATCTGTTCCCTTTGAAATAGTTTATTTTTTCTGTATTTAATCATGAAAACATACAGAACYCTATTTAACAAATGTAGTGATGATAAAACAAAAAAGAAACATATTACGCTTCTAATTTACCACAAAATATTTTGACATCTCTGACTTGCCAAATTTTTAAACTTATTTTATTTTCACTTTCATAGTTTTATCTTCAACTGCTTGTAATTTTAACTGTCTTGGATGTTCATGGAAATGGTTTTTACCAGCTTGTAGCCAAGATTCTGACGTTTCTGTAGACACCAAACATGTCTATGTTTAAATAAAAGAACTTAGAGTAATTAAAGTAGAAAACTGAGGGTTTGGGCTTAAGAGATGAATGAACCAATTGGCGGGCCGATCTTTCGTCACTCGCGGGCCGGGTGTGGCCCGCGGGCCGCAAGTTGAATAGCCCTGCAGTAGTCGCCGCGAGGGGAAATGAAAGCATAAACAAACATCTCTAGCTCTGCAACTGAAAAGACAGATCTAAACTTGCTGATGTTTCCTAAATAAAAAAAACAGGATTCTGTCAGTTGTTTTACATCAAACAATATAAAGTGATCAAACAGAACACCTAGATTTCTAACATTTGTGTGGATAACAGGGGAGAGTTGCCATCTTTACACGTCTTTGTGTTCGTTAAGTTTGCACAACTGTATATATTTGAGCTACTCATAACTGACTCCATATATCACTTTACTTTTATGCCAAAGGGACTTCATTCACACTGTCTGCACTGTAAATATACATTGCTGCATATGCCATTATAATTCTGATGCTAACATCACACTTTATCYTGTTACATTTCTAAAATTAAATAATGAATAAATCTAAAATTACATTTCTAAAATAATCTTAAGATTTCTAAAATTAGTTTTGCAACATATTTTTATTTTGTTGCTTAATGTTTACTAAATGTTTATTTTTTTATGTTTATTACACCAGAGATCTGAGAGTAAAGTGTGTCCTGTACATGGTGCAGATTTGACGATACGTTGGACTTTGACTATGGGCTTTTTGAGTGGCCTTAGTTTGGAGAACTAAAGTTTCATTCTTTACAACGGTGAGCTGATGGCTAGTCCGAGCAGGGCCAAGACCTGCTGCCATCCTAAAAAATTCATAGTCGTTYACGAGAACAACATTTTAAAACCTTTTACACTGCTGTAAATTTCACTGTATACACTGGATATGTGAAATTACTGCTGGAATAACCCCAGAATGCCGCAGTGCTAAAAAAAATAGCTGCTGTTGTTATTTGCACATGCAAAAACCCATAAAGGTCTGCGTGAATAACCATAGTTTGAGCCTGACAGTATAAAAAAACGTTTGCATGAACCATTTTTGAGTTGCTGAGTGACTGCAGCATTTTGTTTTTAGCATCACTCAGATAGCTGTTAGCTCATTAATAAAGTCAGAATGAAACTTTTTTCTCCAGAAGTCATTCAAAAGCTGTCTACAACAGGTAAGATATTAACTGTTTAAAACCTTTCCACAGTCAGAACTCCTTAGCTTTAAATGAAGCCGTATCTGAAACACCTGCTTTGCTGCTGTCTAGCTCTTCATACCTGTTTTACTTTAGCCTCAAATACATTTGCTACATCATTCAATACACCCTGCTGTTTGCTAATTTTTGACAAATTTAAGCAGCAAAACAGACACAACTCAAATTTCATACATTTTTCTACCCGTTTTTTGCCATAACCTTCCTCATTAGAGGAGAACACAAACCTCTTCCATCTCTGCACCTGGTCTGTGAACCCCTCTGATCATCAGCTCCGTTTTCAGATCCACAGTTGGGCAGCCCAGACTCATGACATTAACATGCAGATCTCAGTGGATAACAATGCCAGGCCACACGATCAGCCAATTATTAACTCCATCCCCGACGTCTAACAGCACACTCCAGCTCGACATGTGGAAAAAAGTTCTCATGACTGCACTCCTTCACGCCGAATGCTGGATGATTGATTACAGCTTCAAAAAAAAAAAAGAAAGAGAGGGGCCCATGTTTCCTGCAAAACATCAGCCACACGCGTGTGACAGACTGAGGGAAACACTGTTGATGTATACGGGGTGGGATTACCAGTGCTGGCAGAAACTGCACTTTTCTTTTCCAGTTTACAAACATGAACAGTGAACAGGTGCGGTCTGATCGGTCCCCCCAAAATAGAAGGAGTAAAGCTTCGTAGCCACGGAAATGCTGATGCACTGGAAACGTGTTCTGCGGTGCTGTTAAAGCACATTAGCGTTCAAAACATTGCTTATACAACTGTTGTGAGCATTTACCTTCTACACTTTACATGATGACCATAAGTCATGAGGGAAACTGAACTTTTGCCATTGACTGTCTCAACATTTTGCTAATTTGAGGCAAATTGTTCTTTAAAAAAAGAGAGAACTTCTGAAGTATTTTGATGAATGTTTTGGGGGCTGTAGTCTGTCACCATCGTCAACAGCTTCCAAAGCTTCATTCATGCATAACTTTACATGATTATGCATGAAAACAGGCCTATTTATGGAACATTTTTTCCACATTTCACCTCTTCCCCCGCAGCAAGATTGTTAACAGCACTCCAGGCTATCTTTCCACATCATTTACTTTGTAATTACGGTGTTTTCATGGCCAGCCTCAAAAGTCTCTCCATCCTTGACTTGGGCTGTGCTTTTAGCCAGGAGTGTGCGCTTC